GCCTCAGCCTTCCAAGTATCTGGAACTACAGGCGCGCGCTACCACACCCGGCTAATTTTTTTTGATTTATTGTAGAGATGAGGTCTCACCTGCCCAGAGTCTCGAACCCATGGGCTCAGGCAATCCACTTACCTCAGCCTCCCAAAATCCCTTTTCCCAGGGATTACAGGCTGAGCCACCAAGCCTGGCTTCAGAGGTATTTTTTCATATGGTCTTTTATCTAATCTCCATTTTTACAGATGGGGAAATTGAGACTCAACAAGATCAAGTGCATTGTTCGAAGTCATGAAACTAATAAGTGGTTAAAAAGAGTACAGAACATGAATTACTTATAAAGTAATGGTTAAGTGATTCAAGAGCTAAATTTCTTGATCATGGTCGGGGTTCATTCACCTTCTTAAATCTGCAGACTCATCATCAGTTTTTAGATTTTCAATCATTCTCTCCATGAATATTGCTGCTGCTCCATTCTCTCTTCTTGTCTTTCCTCTGGGACTCCAATTACACACATGCTAGACCTTTTGAGTATGTCCAGCATTTTTTACACTCAATTATTTTTTCCCCAATTCTTGGTTTTCTCTGTTTTGATGTAGGTATTTTTTATTGATGTGCCTTCCAGTTCTGGCTACTGATGTATTCAATCTGCAGTTAAATCTATTCGTGGAGATCTTAATTTGAGACACTGTATTTTTTAGTTCTAGAATGTTCATTTAATCTTTTAAAAAAAAAATGCTAAGTCTCTGGGGATCGTCTCCTTCCTTTCATCTATTTTGTCTATTTTCCCTCTATTTCCTTGAATATACTAATCATAGTTATTTTAAAAATCCTTGGTGCTAACTCTAACATCTGGGTCATCTTTGGATCTTTTTTTATCATCTGGATCTTTTTTTGCTCTTGACTTTAGGGATATGGTCTTGCTTTCTGTGTATCTAGTAATTATTTACTGTATATCAGAAAACAGGTATAATAGAACTGTTAAGGCCCCACACAATGTTATCATCTACCAGAGAAAATTTTCTCTTTCTTTTGCAAGGCAAGTAGAGTACAGAGGGAATTCCTACTTCATTCAGGGACAGAGCTGAGTCAGGGCTAGCTTTCAGTTTGGTAAGACTCAGTCTACCTCTGGTTTACCCATGTTTTTAGGGTAGGATCTTTAGAAATTTCAGTTGAGAGCCTGGTACATGTTTATCTCCTCTGTCCTAAAATACTATTGGGAATTCAGTTCTGTCCTTGAGAGGTTTTTGGCTTAGTTCTGTAGCCTTCCAAATCCACATGTCTTCAAACTTTGGCAAATCTTGAAAGGGAAACTGGCCATGTGTTTGAATCCACTTAAGTCTCCCATTTTGTCACTCAAGCTACATGCAGACAGCAAAATCTCTGCTGGTTTCTCCATCTGCCAGCAGTAGCCTTTTCCCAGGGAGCAAGACTGGAAGTTCAGCCTCTGCTCCCAGAATCAATAAGTGCCCAGGTCCCCAGTGTCAATTCCTTACTCTCTCTGGGGCTTTCATATCTGTACAATTTTTTCCCCCCAGACACCTTGGCATGTCTTTGCTTTCTGGGCACTGTAAATCTGAGGATAATTGTACTCTGCCTATCAAAAGTGTGCAGCCTAACTTTTTACACTTTTGCACAGACTAGGAATTCAGTAAATGACATGTGGAGAAAACCAGCTGTGGGTTTGATACTCCTGAAATCTCCAAATTTTGTCTAGCCCTGTACAGTTGTTAAATTCTTCATTAGTTTCTCTTTCCCCCAGCAGTATCCCTTTACTGGGGTCAAGCCCTAATCTTCAGCCTGCACCCAGGATTGACAAATGCTCCCAAGAGAGAAAAGAGCTGTTGATTGTCATCTCTGGGTGATCCTCACTTCTGTGGAATTTTAATCCCTCTAGTCATCATTTCTACAGCTGATGCCTTTAAAATGCATTTATATATTTTTTCCCTAGTTGTTGTCAGAGGAAACACTGTAGACCTTACTCAGAAGCAGAAGTGTTGAATCTGCAGAGGTTCACAGATATGCAATTCACTATGTGCCTCAAGTGACATTTTTCTAAACTGTTTATGGGAAGCATGCAACCTCTCATAAAGTTGCTGTTTACAGCAATTAAGCAAAACTGTGCTCAGATATGCCAAAACAGAATTCAAGCTACAGCTACTTCCCCAGCACTCCAACATCCCCCAGCATAGGTATACCTCAGACATTGTGAATTCAATTCCAGACCACTACAACACAATGAATAATCACAATAAAGCGAGTTACACAAAATTTTGGAGTTCACAGTATAGATAAAAGTTATGTTTACAATATACTGTAGTCTATTAAGTGGACAATAGCATTATGTCTTAAAAAACAATGTACATACCTTAATTAAAAAATAGCTTATCTTAGCTAA